TGCCCGCAGCGCCGAGGAGCGTGCACACGGATGCAGTTTGTCCTTGGCCACTGCGGCGTGCCCAGGAACGAAGCTTCTGATGCATAAGCCAAGGAGGCGTCCGACCTCGCACAGCTCATTGACACATGGACCACCGGCATTGTCGCATTGGCCGAACGTACTATTCGTGCCCGACAGCTCAAGCCAGAAGCTTACCGCTCCACTGCAGCAGGCGACTGGGAACCCACGCGCACGGACGCCACTCTCACTCGTGGGGGAGGAGGCTGCACTGGCCCGCCTCCGCAGCGGGGTTTCGCACAAATACGGATGGCTGCTACGGCCACTGCAACCCGCCATCCCACGCACATGCCGTTGGTGCGGTCCGGATGCCGCACAGCAGACATGCAAAGAAATATGCACGGAAACGCCTCCTCCTCCCGCTGGACCCCACCCCGCCACGATCCGACGGCCGGTAGACTATCCGGTGTGCGGCAAGCACTGCAGCTGCTACACTAGCGTCGTGACGCACATGGTTAACGCCCAGGGCTTTACGCGCTCTCCCAGGCGCTGCGGGAGTTCGGCTTTCCCGGTGAGTCGGAACCGCCAGAAATCCCACCGGAACCACCGCCCAACACTTGAGCGAGGACGAGAGCGAGAGACGGCACAACGACCGCACCTCCGCCACAGACTGCACAGCCCAGGCCGAAGCCACCCCATGCAGTTTCCGCATGGCGTTGTAGGACAAGCAACCCGGAATCGTACTTCATCTTCGGCACTTCCACAAGCAAGAGTTCCCCCGACAAATAGGGGGCGTTGCCAGGAATATGACGGTCTGACGGCATCCACCCCGTTCGAATGCATGTACTGTGTGAATTCAGGGCTCAGGCTCAGGCGGGACCGCTATCCTGCATACGAGCACACGAACACTCCAGCACAGAGCCACGGTCGGCACCGAAGAAGGAAGCGCTTTGTAAGTGCCCTTAATGTGACAGGCAGACGGGGAATGACGGGGGATTGACCACCCACACACGGCACAAACACCCGACAGCAAGAAAACCAGGACACCAAAAAATGGAGATTAAATAGCCACGCGCTGCAAGGCTTGAACCTCCGCATGAAGAACATCAAACCCAAACAGAACCCCCGCCTCTGCACAGGAGAATGCCACCGAGAAACAGTGCACCGTGTGTCTAAAATGGCACGCACACATGCGTTGATGAACGTCACGCTGTCGCCGATTTCACGACGGCAGAGGGGTCAGGGTGCCGAGAAGACGCAAGTTGCCCGGCGACGACAGCCCGATGGGATCAACACCAGTTTAGCTTTGCCGTCCAGCATGCGGGCTTCAGTGCCACAGCAATGCCTGACTGACCCGCTACCGCACGGCACGCCACGGGCATCTACCGGACATTGTGAAAACCGGCCGACCGGAGCTGTGCGGAGAGGCAGCTCTGCATTTACTCCGCTGCCCGGCTCTGCAGGCACCCAGAAAAAAGCATGGAGTGGACATTGGAGAGGTGAGGAAGCCGAGCTTCACGGAAATATTGG